TACTGTCGTGTTGTTGATAGGGGTTACCTCTCCGGATTCAAAAATGGGATATTATATCTTGCGAAACCTCGATGAAGCGCTGGGCGCGGCATGTTCGACATTATCGCTATCGGTGGTGTCTATGAGTGTCTGGCTATATTCAGGTGTTGTGGCATTGTCCGGTTCGTCAGTATATGGTTCGGAACTGCGGATGCGGGCGGCAGCGATTTCTTCCTCGTCTCTGTGGTATGACTCCCGGCGGAGCTAGGAGGACGCGATAGCCCCAGCTCCATCGAAGCAGCTGGCCCAGTTGCTGGAAGATCAGGAGATAGAGGATGCCCCTGGCTGCAACCTCCTGGCTGTTGTCGTTTGGTATGCGATCCCAGCGCAGGCCTTCTAGAGTGTGGGCCAGCGACAACACGAGCGAGATGGGTAGCGAATTGGAGTTCCCAAAGACCTGTAATTTGGTTAGCCAAATGTATATGTAGAGAAGAGGGAAAGAGAGAGAGAGAGAGAGGCTCAGGGGCGGGGAGACACATACGCCCATGGCGACCACAAAGTTGGACTGGGGCTTGTTGAAGCGGAACAGCCGAGAGACCACGGAGGCACACAGATAGGAGACCGCAGTCTGGACCGCGAAGATGCAAGGGATGATGGCCAGGTCTGTCAGTTTTCCCGCGGTTAATTGGGAGGCGAGTTTTGTGAAGACTGGTAGAATGTCAGTCGCAGTATATATATATATATCTAATATGGGTACGTAGTTAAAAAAAAACAAAAACAAAACAAAACACACACCGAGACATGGGGTAAACAGTGCGACATTGAGATTGGCGACGAATTTCTGGGCCTCCGCATCAAACCTGCCCATACGGGCTAGGATATAGCCGGGGAGACTGACGCAGACGATCTCGAGGACTGCGGACAGGACCAGGATGACAAGCCGCGGCAGCGGAGGTTGAGCAGCCTGCGGAGAAGCAGCGGTGTTGAGCAAGAGGGAAGAGTGAGAAAGCCAGCCAGCGGCGGCGGCGGCCAGGTGTTGCTGGGCTACATGCTGGTTGAGGGCGGAGATGGAGGAGATGGAGGAGGAGGAGGAGTGGGAGGAGTTGTGGAGGATATGCGCGTTTACAAAGGAGGTAGGGGAGGTAAAAAGCATCGTGCAGCAAGCTGCCACGATGAATGGGAGTGGAGGACAAAGAGAAGAGAAGGAGGAGGAGGAGGAGGAGTAGAGATAGCAGGAGAGATATGGATGTATGTAGAGCAGCCAGCCGAGAGCTAACAGTCACCGGCCAACTCAAGCAGTTGAGTCAAGTCCAGTTCGAGTCGAGAGTCGAGTTGGGTGGCGGAAGGATAGAGCAACCGCGTCAAAGTTGGCTCTGGGTGAAAGGCGAGCCACAAACCCGGAAAACCTTACGAGTCTGGACACCTGGAGCCTGGAGCCGGGGAGTCTGGAGCTGGGGAGCCTAGCTTGAGCAGCACAAGCACTCCGACTGCGGACGCAATGCTCTCCCGTGGATAGACATAGCTGCGTACAATATAATATATACATACATGTTGTTGTTGTTGGTAACTATACATGTTGGTTTTGATGATGCGGCGGAGAGCAGGGTGTGGATGTACCATATAGGTACCTCGACCGCGGTGAAGGCGTGTAAAGGTACCGATAAGGTACATGTTCAAGGGTCCTGTGGCTGGTGACGTGCTGCGTGTGCCAAGCAGTGGATCTGGCCAATCACAGGCCGGGACTTGGTGGTGTGCGGCCAGGCGACGCGCAAATTGGTCCAGGGCTGTTGAACGGTGGAGAAAGGACAGCTGTCTCCAGGGCTCCGAGGTCGGGATGCCTGCCTGATATCGGTGGTAGTATGTGCTAGTATGCTATACAAGGGCCCAGATTATCATTCTCCTTTTGGAATGAAAAAATAATCTGTGTTTTGCAAATGGAAGACACAAAAACGCTGATTCGAATCTACAAGTACGAGTTGCTAGTACTACACTTTGAAGTATAGCCCGCTGCCTTGCAGAAACCCCACTGGTGACGCCCATCTATCATATATCCCGGCGACGGTGGATCGCGCAATCCTCAAGGACACCAGCATCCTTGTCCTCCTTCTGCAGGCCTCAAGCAGCTGCGCCATACAGTGTCCTATTTTAGCACCCCAGATTTAAGCTTTACCAAGCCCCGGATGTGCTTGGCTGTCATTGGCCGTGGCCCATTTAAGGTTGGCTGACGAGCATCATTGGATCCACGGGTTTGGCCCGCGGGTGCAGATCCGCCATTTCGTGCAGATTATATAATAAGGCTGTCTTTGTTGTTGCATTGACTGCTGTTCCTGTGTGGAAACCCTTCCAAGGTCCTTCATTCTATGCTCCCTCCTTACACCCAATTCCTCAGTTGCTCATTACCTGTCAACTTCCATTCCATACTAGTTGCTAGTGCTTTTTTTTCTTGATCAATCAATCACCCCGACTAAGATATATATCACACATTTGGAACAGCCACCAATACCCATGGCTCGTCCATCCGTTTTGCAGGTGGTGCTTTATTTTGTTACCCTGCCTTTTTTTTCAAATATCCTTGGTCAATCAGGGTCCAATGGCTCAGCTGGACGAGGGGTTGGACTGCTGAAGAAAGATAATTTTGCCCATTGCTAGTCGCGTCTGCGATACCATTTGGTGGGTAAAACGTGCTAGGCTAGGAGACAAAAGTACCAAGGTGACAAGTGCGTGGGGAAACCAGTGTAAAACCCCTTCTTTCGTGATCCCGTAAAAAAAAGAGAAAGAAAAAGAAAAAAGAAAGAAAAAACGCCCAAAACCCCAGCGCCGGACAGAAATATATACAAAAACATACGCTGACAGGGTATCCCGCTAAACTCCAAAATGATCTAGGGTATTATGTTGTTGCTGCTCTCCCAGTCTCCCAGCAAAGCAGGCAACCTGCGCCGGGGGTCATACCCTCGCTTCATTCAACAACAGACCTGCTGTGACTCCAAGACTCCAAGAAACAAGACGCATTCTCCCATTGATCATGTTTATATATATATATATATATATATCAATCTTCAAGTAAGTCAGCCCACTCCGGAATCTTCTTGATCAGACTCCACATGTACTTCTCCAGCTTGACCGCGCACTTGGCGTACACCGTCGACGCGTCGTTGTACTGTCGGCAATTGCTGAAAATCAACTTCAGATCCGCGACAAGGTCCTTCGGCGACGGATAGGAATCGCACTCCAGCCTCTCTTCCATGGTCGACAGATCCATCGGCGATACAATGACATTGTAGTAGTCGGGGACCTCGTCTCTGTTGACCGGGTTGAGGAAGGGCCAGGCCTGTTTGTGGTTCTGGATCTGGTTCAGGAAACGCCGGAGCTCGTTGAAGTGGCGCCCGTGGCGGGGCTCCCGCGCTAGCTTGTCCATGTCTGGAGACCAGCCAGTGGCCCGAATGGCAGGGATCGAGAGTGGGTCTATTGGTGCGATGACTGCGCTAGCCCATTGCTGGGGTGGCCGATGGACGATGTGGCTTTCGCTGAAGGTGCGCATTTTGGCCAGCACTGCCTCCTTCTGCTTCAGGAGCATGCGCCCAACTTCCAGATACCGTATGCGGGGAAGCATGGAGCACTGCATGAGTGTCCCCCCTTCGTAATCCTTGATATACCCCATCCAGACGGACTTGTCGAGGGTGATCTCTTTGGTAAATCCTTGCTTTTGAAAATAGCCGGTGGCATAGTTATCGGCGTATGTTAGAAAATGCATCACGGGGGAAGTAGCTCTGACATAGTCCTTCAGATGGAACATGAGATGCGCGCCGTATCCCTTCACCTGCTGGTGGGACGAGACCGCGCAAAAGACGATTTCGGCAAACTTGCGGTCTCGGAATTCTCGGAATGTGATCCCGCCGATGACCTCCAGCGGCATTTTGACGATGGCCATAGACAGATGAGCCCGATCGTAGACGAGACGCGCGACATAGTCCTTGGGCATTTTCGGAAGCTGCTTTTGAAACAGGCACTTGAGGCCTGTAAGGATAATGGTACTCTCTCTGGAGCCATCATTGTTGACCACTCGGAATTGGATCTCTCCATTCCGCTCTTCCAAAACTGCTGGCTTTAAAGAGACACGGTTAGATGATTTGGCAGTTTTCCCGGCAATGTATTCGAAAATCCTAACACACCTTCTCTGGAAAGGGGACGATGGTCAGAGCGGGAGTTTTCGCATCTGGCTCTATCAACCCATCATCATGAAAGCGTTTGATTCTTTTGGCGTCAGGGCCGAAACTGGGTTCTTCGACAGCGGCGCGCTTCGCGTCGAGATTCTGCGTGCTGGAGGTGCTAGAGGCTGGAATTGATTGTGACACTGCTTTGTCCATCTACGCTTGAGCGCCACGACTGGACTTTCATGAGGTAATATGCAAACTAGAATTTATGCTAGGTTTAAGTTAACCTCGGGATGTTGAAATAGTTAAAGATGTCCATTCCAAGGTTGGTTTGGGTTCATCAGGTGACTCTTGAACTGGGCAGTGCTAGGCCTAAATAGACATAGTTGACTTGGCGCGCTTCCCTCCTGCAGCCGCTAATCTTCCATCTAGTTAATCGTGAATCAGTTCAACACTTAACTATCCTTCTTCATGATAGTATTGAAATTTTACAAATAATACTCCACATAACTAGTCAGTTAGGAGTAGAAAATATAGACAAAAGCTTTTCAAATAAGCGGGTTGTTGATTGGTTAAGAAACTAGCTAACGAACAACCAGCATCTGAGGAGGGAAATGCAATAACTACCCTTTCCAGCAGAACTGACTAATAAATTACTTGGAGCTTCCTATACAAGAGAGGTTGAACGTAGGAACTCCAACGCGTCATCAAGAACTTTCCTTCACCACTTAGTTAACGCGCCGCGAATGATGATCTACAGCTTCAAGTTGCTTTAACCATCCAGCCCCCCACGGCGTGGTAATGATTCTTCCGCAGGTTCACCTACGGAAACCTCTTGTTACGACTTTTACTTCCTCTAAATGACCAAGTTTGACCAACTTTCCGGCTCTGGGCGGTCGTTGCCAACCCCCCTGAGCTAGTCCGAAGGCCTCACTGAGCCATTCAATCGGTAGTAGCGACGGGCGGTGTGTACAAAGGGCACTCTCACTCTGCGATGTCGACCTTTCTAGATTATTACAATGCCCCTCCAACTGGACAACCCCTTTTGGGAGCACCTGGCAGTTCAACAACTGCGTCTTTCCATCCCACAAACCCGCCCAATGAAGAGCAACTCCCAAGACACATCATCTTGGATCAGGATATGTGCAACCAGCTTTTGTCATTTGCCCGGAATCATCTAACCATTGCTCCCGCTCCTCCTCTCGATTTCAACCTTGTGCATCAATATGTGCAACATACTATCGACCGTGGAGTAGTGGGAAATGAGACTGTCAATATGGATGCGTCTCTGGTCCTTCTTCAATATGTGGCGGAGTTTGTTACGGCAGCTGACCATCTGCAACCAAATGATATTCGAATCGTAAGCTGTGACCACGAAGATGGCGCCCAGCTAAACAGAAAACTCCGCAGAACCGAAACTGACTGGGTTGTCGTGGAGCACAAAAGTGTGGCCGCCTACAACGCTCATCGTTCTCAAATCCTGGATCTTGCCAGAGGTGAAGGGACTGAGATACTAGCTTCTTCTTACGAAACGAGTGCGCGTTCAATCATACTTAAAGTAAGAATCCTGCGCCTTGGTCAAAAGATCATGCTAACGATTGATAAATTCATATACAGCTCGGCAAACATATGATTGATGCCAACTGCAGATGGGGTCTTTTGATTGGAGGACATGAGTTTATGGTTTTTTTCATGAACGTGGTTAACCACAAGAACAGCAACTACTACCAGATGGTGGTATCAGATAATCACTCAACCCTTACACGCCCCGGACAACTTCAACCACTCCCTGAACCCTGTCTTATTTCAGTGGTTACAGCACTTCTTCTTGGCAATAACCCGGCTGCTTCTTACACCAATCCCCCAACAGCACGTATTGTTACAGAATACGCTGGGGGCCGACAGTCCAGGACGACCAGAAACACAGGTGGAGGGAATGAGCTAAAGAGAGCGAAACGAGGAGAGCCGGCTTTGCGATCCTCTCGGGCCGGAACCACTGCAGGAACTAGAGCGCATGTCCACCAGGAAACGCGCAGGTCCTCACGCTTGATCGAGGCTGCATCACGGCTACACAGCAAGCATGACGTAAAGCAATTTACCCCCCAACGCACTCTAACCGACATAGCTAATAGTCCCCTTTTAGTACTCTTTACTGTCGTTTCCGAATTCAAGACTGCCAGATCGCCAATTGGCTCTAAAGAGGATTGTAAGTGTATTTTGCCCGAGTAGCGATTAGATTGCAATGCTAAGAATCACGAACAGTCTGCCCAGAAAGCATGGGATGTAGTTCTGGAAGGCAACTCCTCAGATCTTCCAGAAACGACCCCTGAAGGCGAAATCACATATCAAGACACGGTTGTTGAGGAGCCCCTGTGCCTGCTTGCGATGGAAAAGCTTGGGTCGGGAATATGCGGCATTGCCTATGATTCTCTACTTGTTTCCGGTACATCTGAGGAGCCCTGCGCCATCAAGGTTAATGAACACGACTTTCAGTCCTTCGTGAGGGAAGTGGAAGTGTATGAGCGGCTGCAGGGCAAAACATTTATTCCTAAATGTTACGGTGGCTTTGCTGGAATGTGGGTTAACGAGCCATTTGGAGTCCTTGTTCTGGAGTTGCTAGAAAAGAGCTTCGATTCATTCAACGAGATGACCACAGACCAAAAGTAAGTTTTCCAGATATATTTTCTATTGTCTTGAGCTGTGGGGATGTTGCTGCTTATGCTGAATGCTGTGTTATTTTTCGCTACAGACACCAGGCGCTTGCATGCCTTGAACAGCTGCATGATGAGGGGTATCACCAGGGAGATGTCAGGGCGAGTAATTTTGGACTTCGCAACGGCCAAGTCGTCGTCCTTGACTTTACCCATGCGGAACCTTGTGACACACCGAGAACTTGCGGGAACTGGGAGGGTAAGTATGCAAGAGAAGTGATTTTTGAGGGAAATTGTTAGTTAGTAAATCTAAAAGCTGCTTAACTTAATCCTCCAGCGAGCAGGCCGGTGAATTTGAACCATCCCCACTCATCAGATTTTATTTCAAATTATCTACGCCCAACAGCCCCTAATTGCATTAAATCAGATGATCCTAGGATTAGGACATCTAGTTCTTTTATGCCTGTTTATCATGTAATTAATCAGAGTTATCATACGGAGGTTCATCTCAAAAGTTCTTGCCCGCCAAGGCACCCGCCAAGGTACTATATAATGCCACCAACTTGAATTTCCCCCAAATCTGCTTCATCATAACTCCATAGTAGAGATGATATTTTCATTTCTCATTAAATTACTTGTCAAGATGACTTCCAATACTGATATATATGCTCTGATCAAGTAATTCTTCAGATCTTAATTCTGTAGAATCTTGATGACTCTGAATGAAGCACAAAATCATACAAAAGAGTGCATTGTGGTTCCCACAGTATACTGTAGCTGGCAGTTGCAATGTATAGATGATGAGATGGATGATCACACCTGCTGTGGGCTGAGTCACATCACTATACTCACAGATATAGATATCACTATAAGTGCAATCATTTAAGAAAATGATTATATTGACATTTTGCTATGAATAATCTGACGATCATGGTGCTCACTTATAGATTATCACAGCATCAAAGAATCAGACAGAAGAAGTTAAGACATGAAAGCAGTGTTGAAAAAATTTTTCACAGAAGATGACACAAGCACAAATAGAGTGAATTCCTACTTATATTCAAAAGATTATAGAGCTAGAAGATGGAAATGAATATAAAGAAGTCTGCAGATAATTGTACTGTACATAGATTGTACAATAGAGAACACTTGCTATATTCAAATTAGACTTTTGTGGCATTTTTAGTACAACAAAGAACTTTTGAGATGATCCTCCGTAATCAATTCAATATTATCTCGATATTCAGTATTTGGGTCAATATTCGGACATTCCATCGTTCCGACAGCCCGCCATTGCCCTGTAGATTCAGGGGCCGCAGGCCCAGCTGGGGAATAGTAAAGTCCTGACCTTCATTCCAAGTTAGACCCCCTGTTGCATTAGATCCTATGGGTAGACCTCTTGCATTTTTGCTTTTCTCTCTCGTTTGCAGTGAATATATCCTCATACTTCTTCTCCATAACCATGGTGTTGACCATCCCGAATTCACATTTGATCAAGGCCTTCCACCAGTCACGCCCGGGGAGAGGGGAGGGGGGGTTCTCAGTGCCTTGCCCCATTTGATTTTTGACCTTGTTCATCTGCTTCTGCAATTGCAGTGGGTTATTAGATTTTGATAGAATCCAAGATGACCCTGAGTTGCTAGATCAACTAGATGGGAGGGGAGGGGGGTTGGGGTTGGGTTGGGGTAGAGATATCAAAGTTGAATATGTAGTCAAACGGAACTATCCCAGTGGCCCTGAACTCACTTTGAATATCGAAGCCTTGAAGGCTTCTACATACGCGGCAGGATAAGCCTCTAAGAACTCTCCCTTCTGAATGACATTGAATCCAAGCTGCATTTGCCGTTAAATGAGAACCCCATATGCACACTTTAGAGCTGCAAAAACCATCCACATATGCAGTCTGCAAGAGGAGGAATGATCAGAATTTTGGTCAAATTCTGGGGTAAGATGACTGCCATTCCCGTCCAGAAAAAGGGGTACACGGGTCCCAACTCTGCGTGGATTCGTAGCTGGAATAGACACCCTAGTAAGCCATTTTGATTCCTATCTCGTTCGTGGCCCAGCCATTAGGACTAATGTCCAATCTCCAGCCCTCTGTCAGCCTGTCAAACCAGCCTTCTTGAATAATTTGACTCTTGAGAATGACATATGGATCTAGGGCCCATGCTGACACATTGGCTGACTCAATCACGGTAATCCATTCACACAATTCCCAGGCTGTATAAGCTTTGCCCATCTGCAGTGCTCAGCACTAGTAATGACCTTGATAGTTGTGCAGAGTCCCCATTGCAAATCCCATCTCATCAAAGTTGTAAATATATCCAAGCACAATCCCAAGCTCAGCCATTACCCTCTCTAGAGTCTCAAACCAATCCTCCACAATATCACAGTCTTCGCACTTGGCCCGGTCATGATTACGGCATCTTGAGAGGCAGCATTGAAGCTCTGGACAGCAGTTAACTAGTCTGGAGATCCATTTTTTTCCAACTCATGAAGCCGATTTGGAATTTTGTAATGAGAGAAGATGATTAGCCATATTCTCCACAAATGCTGGCCAGGGGGGTTAATCCTCATGTAGCAAGCAAGGCATAGAATCCATTTGACAAGATTATCCTCTTCAGCCTGGGTCAATTTTTGGGGAATTTGCGTGTAGATTCGCCCATGCGGTTCGGCCATTGAGTCAATACTAGGCATGCGGCTTCCCAAATATATATATATTTTCCCCCCCATTTTGAATAGTATTTATCGCGAGCTCAATTCTTCCCTCTATTTCTATAGAGTTTCTTGCATTTTTGCTGTGCTGTGAATTGGCGGCATTCTCACGCGTTGAAGTGGTTGAGTTGAAATTTGCGAAC